TATGGATCCGATATCCTATACATTTTTGCATGGTTTTGTCCATGTTTTGGCCATCCTACATTTTCTTTGCGAGACATCAACACGGCACGAAGACTCTTGCTTTCCCGGAGACACTTGATATGGTGGGATTCGACAGATGTGAGGGTCCAATGGGTCCAATTTTGGTCTGAAAACGGGAATACACTTTGACCATTTTTGTCTGGAATCGGGTATGGTTTTTGAGAGAACTACGGGAGTGTATGAACTTATTAATCGTTTCAATTCCAAATGAGTAAGAAAGAAAGAGAAATATGCGAATTCGAAATGGATTTGAAGAATTTGTTTGTTTGCGCTCTAATAGACTGCGAGCAGTCTCTTGTTTTCTTTGCAAAATTACTGCACGCGAAACCTAAGCACGCGAGCGGCGAAGCCGTGAGCTGCGAGAAACGAGAATAACGTCGTGGTTAGCAATCGTACTAGGTGAGATAAGAACTAGACCGGTTTTAAGAGAAAAGGCGGACTGCAAGCAGTCTGGCGCTCTAATCTAAGTGATGATAACATAATTTCCGCCTAAAGGCCAGGTCTAAAAACGGGTATGGATTTTAGACGTCTGGTCTGCAAAAGGGCGTGGAAAATTACATTTTTGGTCTAAAATAGGGTGAGGTTTTGGAGAACCGGGCGGCACACCCCCACTAAGAATTCCCAGGAGTACCCCCGCCTTCCACACCCTGGTGCGGTGTGGAGTTGAGTTGATTTTATACGTAGCACGATCAGCTAATCAGCGTTGCAATGAAATTTATGTTACTGACAGATCTCCTATATTTGGTTGTGGTCCTTTCCTTTTTAATGTTCATTGCTGCCGCACTCTGCCAAACAGAGATTAGCCGGCAACGCCTCAACATTGTGATATTCTTATTGGTTTAATTTATGACGTATATACCGCAAAACCTCTATTAACCCCCCCCTCTCTTTTAACCCTTCCCCCTCCCCTCCCCCTAATCATTCTTCACGATAGACTGTATTAATCAATCACTACTGTAAAACCTTATGTGGACTGATTCAGGATGGCTCCTGGGACAACTGATACCATCGTCTTTGTTAAATTAAATAAGCCCCCTATCTCTATTAAGCCCCCCTTCTTCAAGTCTGAAAAAATAAGTCCTTAGGGGGCTTAATAGAGGATTTACAGTATTCAAAACACGAAAGCAGTGTTTCCTTCTCAAGGTGAGAGTTAAAAGTTCGAGAGGGAAAAATTTCATTGCATTTCTTTTTCTTTTACAATTAATTAAATCCTCATCCTGCCTCGAAGACCTTAAGGAAACTGTTCTTCCGAGCAGTTCTCACCATGTGTTGTGTATTACGTATGTTTACAGTTAGAAGATTGCTTGCCTGGGCCAGTTGCCCATTGAGCCAGGGTACCTTGAGCTAGTGTCCATCATGAGTTATTTGACCTGAGTCTGAGGAAAACAAGACAGAACGTTTTTTGAGCCCTTCCCTTTCCTCCCTGGGAAAAATATAAATTCACTGAATGAAAATAAATAAAAAAGAAAAATATTTAAAACCGACACAACGGCAATCTACCGGTTCTCAACAACGACTTGAGAGAATAAGGAGGAAATGACTTTTCCTCCTTCCCAAGCCTCTGCGATCCCCCTACAGATTGCGTGACATGACAATCGAAGCATCGAGGAAGCGCGGTCGTTCTGATGGTTTTTGTTCCATTCGCGTTTTACAAAGCTTGATTACACTCTGCTTCCGACAATTTTAACCGAGTCCAGTATGGGGACTGCTAAAGCGTCTCGCTTTTGTGGGAATGTCTCTTCTTATAGCCAAGACAGTGTTTGGTCGTGGTTTATTTGTCTCTGTTCATCGATTTGCATGATGCTGACACTTGGTTTCTCTTTCGCTCTCGGTGTCCTTTTTCCTGTCCTAATGAATTCATTCAATGAAAACCGAGAAAGAACAGGTAAGATGAATCATTTTATAACGTATTTCAGGCGATAAACTAGAGCAGGTTGAATAGAGTTCCCGATCGTAGTTGACGTAATTTCGCAATTCTATTGTTCATTTGTAATTTTCTGAAGTGCGTTATTTATACCAAACCTTTCGTTCTTTAAACGATCGAAGGATGAGAAAAACATGGGAATACTGTTTTTGAAATTACTTTATCCTCTGAAAAATGGAGATTTCTATTTCCAGTGGAGCATATATGCCTTCGATTTTATAGTGCTGCGTCCAAGTCATATGATTCAGAAATGCTGCGCAATCATTATGTCATAGAGCTTCATAGGAAACGTGGACTCTTCCATGCAACATCGCCCCCTGACGCAACGTAGAGATTGAGCGCTCCGCAAACCGGGAAATTCCAAAAAAGTGAGCAATAGTTTAGGTAGTCGTTTCATTATTCTTATCAAGTAATAATCAAAAAGACGGTGTGCATAATTTTACCTTCCCTGGTGAAGAGACTTCCGGTTTAAAAGACTTCCGGTTTCGGCCGCATCTGATATAGTCGGCGCCCCGA